AGCCTCAACATCATTCCTTCCTTTCCACCCAATCATGACAGTAACCTCCTTTTCCCCCTTCTTTTCTAATGCAACCTGAGGCACTATAGCTTCGCGATGAATAGAACCGATAATTGCATGTGTTTTATCTGACAGAAGCTTTTTAATTTAACTGCTGATGGTTTTTAAGTAAGAGTTCTGAATTGAAGGCAGGATGGTAATCTGGATGAACTGACTGCACAGACCATGTTTTCAGGAGGACTTTCTCACTTCAACAAAGATTCTAACTACTTTTTTCCCACTGATTACAGCTAATATAGCTGCCATTGTTACAGGCACAGAAATGATAGATTTGCTCCGCCCAACGTGCATCAGACCCACTTTTCCACCGCGCAGCCATTACAGTCAGTTTCCTCTTTTATTAGCTTCTTGTTTACCTTGATCTTATTTTCAGTAGTGTGTGGTGTTTGCATAGTTTTTACAGTAAATAATACTGTTATAGGGATCATTGGCCAATAAAGGTACTGATATTTAAACTGTGTCTAGTCTTTCATTATTTATACAGTGAACGATTTATCACTTAGAGCCAGATCAATCCTCCTTTTGTTAACAACTGAATAGAGAACATTTATTTTGTTTGGTGGTTAATAACTCTGCTGATAGCCACAGTCTAAATGACTAAACTGGTGAAAGACAATTGGAGTTTAACAGCTGGCCCAGAAGTCCAACCTTTGGTAAAAGACTGAAGAGCCTTGGTTAAAATGACCTATTAATTAACTATAATTCCTGGTTCTAGTTAACAATATATTCCCAATCTGCTGCTAAATTGAACAGCACCAGGTTTTATGAAACGGTTTCATCGGTTGGCCGTTAAGCTTTCTTTGCTGAAGCTCCAAATCATTTAAACAATCATAAAGAAGCTGAAGTTCTATCTGTTTATCAAACCTTATCTACTGCTGCTACGTTTTGCATATTTGATCAATTATTAGAGTTTCCGTGTCAAACTCCTTACCTGCCTAGTTCCTGCAAATGTCTGATTTGGTGAGACTAAGGCTGGGCAATTAATTGCATTTGCAATATAACAAAATGCAATTTTCAAATTGCAGAGGTACTGATTTTTAATTATACTATATTTAAAGAAAAGGACATTAAATTCCTCCCTGAAGCCCTTTAAGTTAAACGATTGAAGATTTGTCGCCACATGAAGGTAGAGAGTAATAACTAACATGCAGATCCACACATCCAAGTAGAAATAAACTGTTTTTCATATAACATGAAGTCATCTAACACTGACCTTTTAACCTTAACGTTTTTTAAAACATTAAGGTTAAAAGGAAAATTGAAATAAAATTGCAACTTTGGTAAAAAAAAAAAAATGCTATTTAGATTTTTGGCAACATCCTTTAGGCCTAGATGAGACACATCACATGCTAAGCTATAAACCGTAAAGATGTAAATAAAGGAAAAGTAAAATCCCGGCCTCGTTCACTGGGCCTGTCAGACTGAAAGTCTGGGGAAGCATTACAGAAACAAGAATTTAAGATCTAATGTTAAATACTAATGGTATAAACGTGCAGAAAACAACAAAGGATCTCCAAAATATTCTCTATTCTGCTACACTTGGGGTCAAAGCTCTGTAGTAACCTACCTGGCAGACACGGATGGCGTTGTCCAAAACAGTCTTTGTATCGGTGGTGTAGTCGCTGCATGGGAGCTGAGCGTGGCTGAAGTGCGCCTGCAGCAGCAGGTGAGTCTTGGTGTGTGGACTGTCGAAGGAGTGCGGGTTGACCTGCAGAGGGAGCTGCTGAGCCAGCTGGCTGTTGAGCTGGTCCTCGTTGTGTCTGACCGGGAGCTCAGCGTACTCCTCTGCATCCTAAAAAAGCACCAAAAGTTCAGCCCAGATTATCAGAACCGACTGAGATGCTCTTCTTTTATATAACATTGACTCCTTGTGCATTTCAACCTTAGACTTCGGCCACGCTGTGGGGATTAGTGCTACATGAAAAGGAAATCATTCGGTTTTGATGTTTGCTCTTTGCTGGAAAGCAACATAAAGCTTTATGTCACCCAAAGCCAAACTTAACCTAACGCTGAGAAAGACGCAGCGCAGCTGATAACCTGCAAAAGATGGACCCTGTGAGCAAATGTGGGATTAAAACAAGTGGAGCCAATTAAAGCTTTATTAGAAACGGCTTTCAGATTATTTTAAATGTAACTGACATGGCGCTGGAAGTGAAG